GTAGTGGTGATATCACACCTAGAGTGGTGAGGCTGTTGGATTTGTCTAAACAATTCTCTCTAACTCGTCCTCATGACCACAGTTTTCACTCCTTTTACATAAGTTTTTCACTGAATTGTAGACACATCTGTGCTCTTCCTGACAGTAGAACTGTGGAAGTAAATGGATTCACAGAAGATGCACAGTGAGCTGCAGAGTGACAGGAGTGCCAACCAACTGCTACATTGACTCCTATGTAAACAGTATTAGGCAGGTGGTCATAATGTTATGGCTGATCAGTGTGTGTGTGTGTGTGTGTGTGTATGTGTATGTGTATGTGTGTGTGTGTGTGTGTGTGTGTGTCACATTTGAAAGCCTTCACTGGTCATGTTTGTTTCCCTGCTGTCAACAGGAGATGTGTGAGTCGATTCCCAGTGATCAGCACCATCTGTCAGACAGGAGGGAGAGAAGGGACCAGCTCCTCATGGGTCTAGCCAAGCTCAAGAAGGACCACTAAGGTCAACATGCAGGGTGCAAGCACAAGAAAACCTCTGATTATGACTTATGGTTGTGAATGGGAATCTTTACACTTTAAATTTGATTCGACATAACACACAGTAAAGTAAGACTGAGGCACACACATACACTCGCCGGCCACTTTAAAAGTCAGACTTGTACATTTGTATGCAATTCAATGCAAAACCTCCACCTTAAAATCTGAGTTTATGAAGCTCAGAATGTTTCAGTTTTTGGGGAAATTGTCATAAATGTATAAATTCAATGATACGTTTATTATTGAGGTCATAGTTAAAGTTTATACATTTATAACAATTTCACCAAAAACAAACTTTTTGAGCTTCATAAACACAGATTTTAAGGTGGAAGTTTTGCATTGAATTGCATACAAATGTACAAGTGCAACTATTAATGTGGCCGGGCAGTATATATTATATATGATAATAATAATTAATTGATGATAATCTTGCAAAGGTGCTCTTGTAAAAGATCTCCTTGACCTCAAGGGATTTTCTCTGGCTAAACAAAGGTTAAATATATATAAGAATGATATCTTCGGAAATAACAGATTTGATCAGTCATAGTGGAGACTTGTGTCCTTAAAGTACCTGTTAAGGATCAATTATGAACATACAAATCTACGGTATACTTTTTAGAAGTAATCATCTCGGTTGGTGCTACACACCGCATAATGAACTGCTGCGAAAATGAATTCCATTAAAATGTGAAATGATTGTTTGATTAATAAAAACCATGAAATCGTACCTTTAAAAAATTTACTTAATACATGTTTTTATGATTACTGTAATGGTAAAAGAAAATTAATTGATGAAATTGTAATTAAATATTTGTGGAAGGAGTATTGATGTGTCCTCTGTTCCTCTATCAAATCAATAATGCGCATTGCATGAGATACTTATTGAAAAGTTACTGATCCTAGAAAAAATGTCACGAGTGCTACAGACTCACCCTGATACAGTATTTCTGGCACAAATATACATGTATATCATTATGCTCTGCTCATGTTGTCATGTTGCAGATTTCATTTCACAGTGAAATCTACCCAGATCGACCATCATGTCATTGTGTCCTGTGTCCTGCATCTATGAAATGTGACAAAATTGACCTCAAAATTGGCCTTAGAGACACAAGATGATCACAAAGAGACACAAAATTGTTGTCAAATTCCTTGTGTATTCAACATACTTGGCCAATAATGTTGAAAACAACTAAAAAGAACCAAGAAGAGAGACAGTTGACCACAAAGAGACAAACCAACCATCTGGGTCTATATAATACAAAAAGTCTCAAACATGTCTTAAATTTGCACCACTGAAGTGCAACATCAACTATGATGAGTCCTCAGTCAAAATGTTAATTGTTTTAGTTTGTATTCCAGGTTGTTTGTTATATAATTGATTACATTATTTTATGTATGTCTGTAATTAACACACAGAAAATCTGGGCAAGGTTGAATTAATCCATATCAGAAGTACAGTAAGGCTGTGACCTACAATTGTTACTGATTAAATAATCAGTTATCAGAATCATTGTCGGTTCATTTTCTGTGAATCAGCTAATTATTTCTCTTCCCCAGCAGGCTTCTGGGTATCAAAAGGGAAAAATGAAACTGGCATGTAAAGGGGGGTCAACGGGGCCAACGACAAAGTTTTGCCTCCGGGCTCCTGATGAGGTTAAGTAAGAAATATCAGAATATCATGCACAAGATAGAGAATAAGTAGACCAGTGACCTCCCACTATTGACTCTCTCCCACGGTCGACCCCACCCCCCACCCACCCACCCGGTTGGGGAATGATGAAACTCCTTGGGAGACCTAGGTGAGTCTCACACCTGCCGAAAGCCGGTCGCGGTTCGTCCCCACCAGCGGGAACAGTTGTCTACTCAACCAAAAAGGATGAGGGATTAACTGGTTTTCCCTTCACGGAAACTATTGACATTTTCTTGGATACGCTCTAGAGAGAGAGGTAAGTCGGTGTTAAAGCCCGTGAGTCAATGTGTTAAAGCCCGTGAGTCAATGTGTTAAAGCCCGTCAGTCGGTTGAGATTTGTGAACTCACTTCACCATAATGTTCGGACGACACCGTCAACAAAATGCTACAACTCCTTGATAATAACAAAAGTCGGCCTTTCATTTAAGGCTTGTGTTATTTATGTCTGCTTAGACAAAGAAACATGGTACATTTCTTAAGGTAATTCACCTTAAAAAGACAGAATTATCTTTTCATATGCCTTATCAGATGTTCGTATTTTTAAAGCCACTGTAGGCTACTGATAGGCAACGGGAAACAATAGTCATAAAACGTCATATTTCGTAAAATATCAAAACCATCGGTTTCATGGAATTTGTTGAATGACTCCTTCTGTGATTTATCACTGCCATGATACAAACTGAGGTTTAGGAGGGGGTACTTGTGATACTTTTGACTTTATAGTGCCAAATCTATCATAGAGGCCCTCTATGTCCCTGGAGTTAACCGGTTACAAATAGCAGTAATATGCCAACAACAGATACAACTCTGTACCTTCAGACAGTTTAGAGATCATGCAAGGAATGCTGTGATGTACCAATGTTCTTTACAAACAGTTTTCTAGGGTGTTAACAAGATGCTACATTCCTG